AAGGCGATCGCGTGCTAGTACTACCCTAGATTGGACTGCCAATGCAAGACACATCTGCCATCGTGCATTGCTAGCATGCTTACGAGAAAAACTGTGATACGACCAACGCAAGTCCGCCGAGCAAGATCACCACGCCGATTCCGCGCGAGACCTTCGAGGTTGGTTCAATCCAATGACCAATCCAAATTCCGAGTGCCAATAGCAACGTCGCTCCGAGCAATAGCCCGGTAAGAAACGCCAGCGGCAATGAACCCAGTGGTGTCCCGGTACCATGGGCATAGCCATGAAAAACGCCGATCACTGCCGCGACGACGGCGAGCAAGACCTCTGGAAATCTTCGGCCTGAGACAAGTGCTGTGCCGACGACAACCACCGAGACTGCCACGACGGGTTCAACCCATGGAAGCCAGATTCCGCTCCCGCTGAGCCCCGCTCCCGCCATCATGCTGCTTAAGAAAACAAGCGGCACCGCGATGATGGAACCTTTCTCGACATGCACGACTAGCAGTCCGATTGCTAGCGTTGCGAGAAGGTGATCGATCCCAAACCATGGGTGCAACACGCCATCTAAAAAACTGCTGCCTGCTCCGACACCATCCGCGGGGCCTGCGATTGCTTCCGCAACACCGGTCGCCATGATCAGGATGGTGGAAACGATTCGGGCAAGCTTCATGGGGTGCCTTTTTCCGAAGTAAAACGAAGACCACCCATAGTATCGGCTACCTACCACCCAAAAGTTTGCCGACAGCTGCTTGCACGTCATCTTGCCGCATCAAGCTTTCGCCGACGAGGACCGCATCGACGTCGTTCTTTTGCAGAAGCTGAATATCGTCGTGCGTGAAAATTCCACTTTCGCCGACTAAGACTCGGTCATCCGGAATCTGCTGGCCGATGCGAATCGTATGATGCAAGTCGACTTCAAACGTGCGAAGGTCGCGATTGTTGACGCCGACCAGCTTGGCACCGATGTCGAGCACCCGCGGTACGTTCGACTCTTCGTAAAGCTCGACCAGCGGCGTCATGCCGAGCTCGCAGATCTGATCGTGCAGCGACTTCAGCGAATCGTCGTCGAGGCATTCCGCAATCAACAACACCGCGTCGGCCCCTGCGGCTCGAGCCTCGACGACCTGGTAAGCATCGAGCACGAAGTCCTTCCGTAACACCGGCAGTCCCACCTCTTGGCGAATGGCGATCAAGAAGTCTAAGTGCCCTTGGAAGAACGACTCGTCGGTCAAACAGCTAATGCACGTCGCTCCGGCCGCTTCGTAATCTTTCGCGATCTGCACCGGATGAAAGTCAGGGCGAATCAGCCCTTTGGACGGACTCGCTTTCTTCACTTCGGCGATCAGCTTCACGGGACCATCCGCCGCGAGAGCTCCGAAGAAATCACGCGGGGCCGGTGAATCGGCCAGGCGAGCTTCGACTTCCGCCAGGGGACGAAGCGACTTCGCCGCGGCAATCTCTTCCCACTTCTTGGCAACAATCTTGTCGAGAACCGTTGGCTCGCTCATGAACACTTCTTACCGCGGATTAATGTCGGAAATGACGGACACCGGTGAACAGCATCGGCAACTTATGTTCGTTGCAGGCGTCGATTACTTCCTGATCTCGCTTCGATCCGCCTGGCTGGATGAACGCCTTCACGCCTGCTTTGGCCGCCGAATGAATCGAATCGGGGAATGGGAAAAACGCGTCGCTGGCCAACACGCTCCCAGGAGCACGCTCGCCTGCTTTCTCAATCGAAATCTGCACCGAGTCAACGCGGCTCATCTGCCCTGCCCCGGCTCCGATCAACGAGCGATCCTTGCACAGCACAATAGCGTTCGACTTCACGAAGCGGCAAATCTCCCAGGCAAAAAGCAGCTCTTGCTTGGTCGCTTCGTCGACTTCGGTCTCGGTAACCAACTGCCAGGTGCTGGGGTCGTCTTGGGTGAAGTCAGTGTTTTGAACGAGCAAGCCACCTTCGATCCAACGCGACTGAAGTTCAGGACGACTGCCTTCCAAGGCCCCGACTGCCATCAAGCGAACGTTGCTCTTCCACTTCGGCTTCGTGGTAAGGATCTCAACCGCTTCGCTGCTGAAGCTTGGGGCGGCGATCGCTTCGACGAACAATCCTGGCGTCGAAAGGTACTCGGCCGTTGCTGCATCGACTTCACGGTTCATGCCGATCACGCTGCCGAACGCACTAAGCGGATCGCCAAGCATTGCTTTCTCGCATGCCTCGGCCAGGCTCGTTGCCGAGGCCGCACCACAAGGGTTGTTGTGCTTGATCACCGAAACGGCCGCGTCCGGCAAGCCGCGAGCGATGGCCAACGCGCTATCGAGATCTAATAAGTTGTTGTACGAAAG